GTACAGGGTATATCACGGAGAGTGTGCGATGGAATGGCATAAATTGATTCCGCCTTCCCCCTTTCTATCATCGGGGTACTAGACGGGGTCTGGGATTCCACTCCTTTGTTGTGGATGCTCCCACATTTATATGGCAAGCGGCTAGAGAGTGGAATTCCTTGTCTGCGGACTTATTCCCTAAACTCTATAACTTGAACCTTTTCAATGCGAGAGCCTATTCAAGGCATTATTTAGATGTGCATGCTACATCGTCAGCTTCATCAACACTTTACGGCTGGTGAGATGGAGGTCACGCATTTTTTTTTTATAAAAAAAAGAAAAAGTTATAAAATATGAGACTATACCTCTAAGAACGCTTTTTGATCTTCTTTTATATGATTGAGAGGAATGTGTAGTTTATTGTTTTGTTGGTCCACCAGCATCACGTGTCGGTGAGAGAAGGTTCCTCTGCCGACATCCTCGCCACTAATTCTGACGTGTCGACCTTCCAGAAGAAGTGACCCTGGAATAACAGTAACTGGTTAATACTTTATAACCAACACATTTTTTTAAGAAATCAAGTGACGGGATGAACAAGCCTTGCGCCTGGTGGTAAGCGAGACGCCTGTCCTCAACAGTCCCAGTGCTGCTCAGAGCTTTAAATCGCGAACATCTGAGGAGCACTGTTACTGCACCCGTCATCCTGAGACAAGATGACAAGTCCCATGTGCCTGTAATTTCACCAGCACCCTCCCTTCAAAACCGGAACACTGTAATGCTGACATTACGGCTTGGCGGCAGAAATAGGTAAGGTGGCAGTACTTGTCTGGACGAACTCTTTCACAAGGAGCTCTACTGCTACTAAATTTCGATACATTATTATACGTTAGCTGAAATGTCCCATGCGTCTGTAGTTTCATTAGTATCCTAACCCTTCAAAATCGAAACGCAGTACTGTTCACATTATTGCTTAATGGCAGAAATAAGTAAGGGGCAACACTTCTCTGGACGATTTTTTTATTTTTTATAACATTGAGTGACGGGACGAACAAGTCGTGCGCTTGATGGTTGGCTACACGTCGTTCCGTAACAGTTGCAGAGCTTTAAATCGCGAAGATCTGATAGACACTGCTACTGCACCCGTCACCCTGAGACACATGTTGAAAAGTCCCATGGGCTTAGTAATTGGCTGGGTAATTTCGACAGCACCCTCTTCTCAAAATCGGAACTCAGTAATGCTCACATTACTGCTTGGCGGCAGAAATAGGTAAGGCGGCAGTACTTCCTTGGACGAATTCTTTCACAAGGAGCCCCAGTGCTGCTAAACATGTCGGTAGTAAAAATAAAACTTGGGCACTCGCCAATTGGGATTTATCGATTTAATCTAGCCCTTATCGTAGTAAATACTAAATCCAAAGATTAAATAAACTTTGACTGTACTTTAGACCTTGGTAGCCTTATAAATAAGGACAAATTTTCGTTGAAAATCAGTAAGGGTAAAACTTCGCATGAATGAGTTCGACTTCCCAAACAAAGTCGTTACTGCAAACATTGTAGACAAATTAATTTTATAAAGTGATTTTTATTTTACTTGTATAACAAATCAACTTTTTGAAGTCGTTAAACAACAGTCATTGTGTGTATGCGAAATCTATGTATGAAAAGCTAAAGTATTCTACTAAGTGGAGAAGAGCTGTGTTTCTATATAGTTATAACCAACTTCAAAAAGGAGTAGGTTCTCAATTCGATTGTATGTTTTTTTGTGTGTATGTTACGCGATAACTCCGGTATTTGTGCACGGATTTTGATGATTCTTTTTTGATGGAAAGAGGGTACGCGAGAAGTAGTCCCATTTAAATTTGAAGAAAATATTCCACCTCTAAGGGTGGCAAACTAGGGGATGAATGACTTTTAAAGTCGGTTTTCTAGTACACTGTACTGATATTATTTAAACGAATTCATGTCGCTTTGTCCAAATAGTTCAAGACACTTTATTGGTAATGGACATAAATTTATCTGCCCTATATATATAGTATGGACATAAATTTGGCTGCTTGCATGATCGAATGGTTACCATTCTGGATTGCCACGCAGAGTTCCCGAGTCCGATTCCCGGGCCGGGAGATATAATTATATAGTCTATATTTATTTATCTCGTGAATTTAGGTGTAATTTGTGGTTGTCTATGTCTGTGTCTAAGGCACCTGCGACACAGGGTTTAAAAGTAAATAAATAAAGGTGAATGGATAATGGACTTCATAACCTTTTTTTTAAATTAAATTCTAAATGCCCATTTGACTTCCATCTCACCTGATGGAAAGTGACGATGAAGTCAACAATGGAGCATGCACACTTAAATAATGCCTATTTACTCTCGCCTTGAAAAGGTCCAAGTTGTAACGTTCAGGACACAACTCTGCAGGCAGGGAATTCCATTCCATGGCTGTTCGCTATGTAAACGTGGAAGCGAAACGCTGCATGCGAATTCTTGGAACATCCACAACGTAGCAATGGAACCGCAGCCTACGCCTGGTCCCCCAATGATAGAAAGGGAACGACGCAATGATCATTACGTCGTAAAGATATTTTTGAGAAATAACCACAGATGGTAAGGAATGTTAATATGTATTGTTAATATCACTACCACAACAATATAACCAATTACAACACAGAAAACCATGCTTTACGTTTACATGCCCACGTTATTAAAAATAATTTTATTTTTTAATGCCCACGTTATTAAAAAATAAAATTAATTTATTTCGAATAACAGCAGCTAGTAGCCTTAAATTCAATTAAAAGTTAAAAAATCATAAAAAATGTAAAATAAATGTTAACTATATAAATAATGATAAATAACTAAAATCAATCGTATATAATAAAATTAGTTTTTAACATTCACTATAACAAATCACAATCAAAATTTTAAGATTACATTAAAATGGACTTTAAAAATTTTGGATAACATCAACTTTAAAAATCGTAAAATTAAAAGTAAAATAAATAAGTGCCCACTTAATTACAATCTGTAATTATAGGAAAACAGAAAATAAGCAAATACAATTGTCATCACACTTGTACGTAAATAGTATGATTGTAATGCAGGCTAACTTGACTATAATGCCCCAAATGAAGCCCACGGGCCATTTTTAACCGACTTCACAAAATGAGGAGGGTCTCAATTCGACTGTATGTTCTTTTTTTTTGTAAGTATGTTACGCGATAACTCCGGTATTTGTGAACCGATTTTCATGATTCTGTTTTTGTTGGAAAGGGGGTATTTCCATAGTGGTCCCATTTCATTTTGAAGAAAATCATCCACCTCAAAGGGTGGCTGTTCACGCATGAAGATTCATTTTTATAAATAGCGCCTAACTTTAATTTAGGAGCAATTACTTTTAGCAATTATTTAGTTAATTTTGCTATTTCTCTAATTCAAGGCGTTTTTCTCTCGATATACTTTGAGTAGTGTCGTAGTGAGAACCTATTTTTATTATCTCCAGTATCAAGTCCTGTATAGTGGCGAATTAGGGGATATTTCAATGAAACTTAGCAAATAGACGTAATTCCACGTAATTTTGAGGTCGGTTTTTTTAGTACTCTGTACTGAAATTATTCCTCTCCATATGGCTGTAATGAGAAGAAAAAAGGCGCGAGGGTTTTATTTCGGGCATTATAGTCAAGTTAGCCTTAATGCAATCATACTATTTACTCGCAAATGTGATGAAAAACATTGTATGCACCTTAATACACAATGTACTATCTATTGTATCAAAGTCGTTTTTTCTTACTTAAGTAACCTATTTTTTTACTGGACGAAAAAAAAAGCAACAAATTGAATAAGAAAACAAAACATTTCGTTCGCCGTTAATGTCTTGTTTGTGGTTACAAACGCGTGCGGTGTCGTAATTGACATGTTATATTTGTTTCTTGACGCGAAAATCTTACGCATGGTAATATAGTGTTTTCAAAAAGGTGTATATAAAAATAGCTCGTATGATTATACGTCTTGATACGTTTATAGATCTTACCAAAAGCCAAGGCCTCTGCTGTAGCCCAATCAAGATTCTTTTCGTCAGATAATTTCTTGAGTCGATTTTTTACGTGAGTCCTTGCTAAATGTGTGTGGATGTTCTGAAAGGTAAAGATGTACATAAGTGACATCATGTGGAAGTCCTTATTTGAGGTATTGTTTTATGGTATTACATAACAGAGAGAGAGAGAGAGAGAGAGAGAGAGAGAGAGAGAGAGAGAGAAAGAAAGAAAGAGAGACAGCTATAGTACATAAGACAAGTAGACAAGTATGGTAATTTCATTCATACGTAGTAGTGCGCCTTGTATTTCTGCAGGCTCGCCGCGCGCCGTGTACAGACGCTCATATTCTCATAGTGCGCATAATAATGAAAGGCGCACGACGTCCAGCGCTTTGCAACGCGAGTGCATCGCAAAATTATGCGAATGTGTGCGTCCGTACACGCCAACGCAGCGGGCGCGCACACATACAAACCGCGCTCCTACGTTTGTATGGAATTATCACCACATTTATCGAACCGCAATTAAAATGAACAGAAAAAACTTTAAGTCCATGTAATAAGAGCGACAAAGCGCTATGCCTTTATCTATATATGCCTTATCGGCGGTACGAGCGGAACCGAAACGCGAAACGTCGTTTTAGTTGCAGTAGAGCTCCTTGCTAATTCGTCCAGGGAGGTACTGCCGTCGAGCAGTAATGTGAGCGTTACTGCGTTTTGAAGGGTAGGGTGGTGCTGGGGAAATTACTGGCACATGGGAGTTGTCAACTTATGTCTCAGTCTCTTACCACTAGGCCCACGAATTGTTCGTCCAGTTACTTGGTATTATAAAAGAACCACTTCATGTCTTTGTCCCCTAGGGGTACGTAGAGACAGTCTTCCAATCGCTACGATCCTGCCATTTCGCGTTATTAACACACATTACATAACATATTTTAACGTTCGTCGAAGAAGGCTCAGATTTATAAAAGCAATTTGACTTCGACTTAGTAAATTTTTCGCATTTTCGAAACGATTTTTGTCTAAGTTGAAGCAAGGAATCACGAAGTAAACTCAAAGTTTAAAATTCAATTTCCTGCTTAAACTTAGAAAAAGTTCGTTTTGTAAATATCTTTGCTTTGTCAAAGTCATAGTCTAAAAATTCAAGAGGTTTATGACTTGGGCTTAGTAGAGACGAAGCTGCAGTGCCTTGAAAACCGTCGTAAAATTGCGTAACTGGAAAGGTGGAATTAAATCATGTAATTCCATCGCACACTCTCTGTGAATACTGTAGAATACCGATAAACAGGCAACTTTACGGACAACTTTACGTGTTCAAGGCTCTGCAGTTTCGCCTTTACCAATTCCGAGTCACCTATATAAGCCTCTTGGCACGCGTGTCGACTGAATCCAAGGTGGCCAGTTCGTATGTAGTAGAGACGTAATAAGGGCCATACATTCCTGGTAACTTATCAGTGATACGTCGCTTATAAATATCAACTATCGTTTGCACTGAAATTACAAATTAGAAAGCTGAAATAGTACAGCGCTAACAACTGACCTGTGTGTACGTCTCCGTATATTCCAAAAATATTCAGTATTTATTGTAATAAAGACACTTCTAACAATGGCGTGCTGGTCCATTCGGTGATGTGGGGAAAAACAGCAAAACATCTAATTATAAAACAAACGGAATCAAATTTCATCGGTAATTAAATATTAAATATGTAATTTTGCAATTTTCGTCCGTTATAGCAAAGCTCACGTTAACTGGTCGATTTGAAGTGAAACGATGGATGAGACCCATCGACAACACCCGTCAATTGTTTCGTATTCGGGCTGGCCAACCGGAGCGCAGTTTTCACAGTTAAATGACATTTCGTCTCTATGTCTGGTTATATACTCGATGTGCTTGGTACATTCATCTTTCCTACGTGTCCAAATCATCTAAGCATCCCATCCCTAAAGCAGTCCTGAATAACGTAAATGCCTTGCCATTTCAAAATAATAATTAAATAAATATCAAGCAGAGGTCGTGGGTTCGAACAGAGCCTCCCACCTTTGAATTTCGTAGAATTTATATGTGAAATTTAATTTGAAATTTATGAGCCTTTCAGTGAAGAGACCAGGAGAAGGAGACCAGTGAGACGTGTAAATGGGTTGATGATGATTATGGGAATGTGATAACATATTAAGTCTCCTGTATCCCACAGCAGCTGTATAGAACTGCACTGCTTTGGTCTGTATTCTGGAACACAGCTGCGTTGTTTTAGGGTGGACAATACATACATACCCAGGTGGGCTTTGCATAGACAGAAACCCTAATACCAATACCAAATTATATTACTTGATCGAATTATACTCATCTGAGTGAGCTTTCTCTAGCAAGCAAAACCTTTACAACATTTCTTTTCACGGAATGCGGAATAATACCAACACGTTATAATTGCAAATATATTATCAAAGTTATAGTTACTTGTTTAGGTAGTCTAAGATCAGTTTCTAAACTATTTAAAATGAAGTTTATATGCATTAAATAGGTTTTATAAGACGGTAATTATCAAATTAGAGTTCTTTTATTCAGCCAATATAAAAGTAAAATCGTTGTAATAGCCATTTGCGCAGTAAAGTTGTTATTTGCTTAAATGTTAAAACAGCTTTGAATACAATATAGTTTTAGGTTAATGCTCTACATGAAGTCTAATTGGGGTCTATTCTGTTAGGTTAATTGCTGTGGTTATGTATGCGCCTTGATAAATTTCGTATGCTTACAGGGATATTTGAGCGGTAGGTTGAAAAAGATTAACATTAGGTATAACATTAGCGTCACAGTACACGTATGAAAACGTTATTTATGTTAAGAATTTTTTTTTAACTGATAGATATAAACTGCGCTCCGATTGGCCAGCCCGAATTCAAAACAATTGACGGGTATCGTCAACTGTTTCACTTCAAATCCACCAGTTTAACTTGAGCTTTGCAATAATGAATGAAAATGGAAAAATTACATATTTAATATTTAATTACCGATGAAATGTGATTCCGTTTGTTTCGTAATTAGATTTTTTCCCACACCACCGAATGGAACAGCCCCTCATAGTTAGAGATATTATCTTTATTGCAATAAATACAGAATATTTTGGAATATACGGAGATGTACACACAGGTCAGTTGTTGGAGCTGTACTATTTCATATTTTTAATTTGTGATTTCAGCGCAAACGAGAGTTGATATTTAAAAATGATATAACGCCCATTTACTTGACGAGTTGCCAGGGTTGGATGAATAGAGACGAAATAAGGGCACTTAGTTCGTCTCTATTTTTGGTTATATACTCGGTAGCGCTATGGCAAAAAGTCGTTAAACAAACAAATACAAAGATTTTGAACCAGCACACAGAAAAAATCGTTTGGTCTGCTGGTTTGTACTGTAGCTTAATTGGGAGAACGTCGGCCTGATATCGGCTGCAGATGATGCTGCAGGCGAATGAATTTTTCTCTGTGTTCGATGTTTGTATTAATAATTATAACAAACTAGTGGAGTAATTTCACAAAATAAAAATTGAATGTCATGGTAGTAAAACATCGTGGTAGTCAATAAACTTCATATTATAATTGTTTTGGTTAATTTTTCAAGTCAATAGGTACTAAAATATTTTAAAAAAACTGGGATTTGCAAGAGATTTTTAACCTAAAAAACTAATCTAATCGAAAAAAGATCGTGTCCCGAATCGTTTCCATTATACTGGCAGCGTCGCCTCGCTGAATGGCAATGGACCCTTGCTGAACCAGTTGGTTCAGCAACCAGTTGGTACGACCCATAGCAATGATCGCAGCCTCTGTCTCTGAGTCGGTGACCCAACTCTTTAAACATGTCTCGACTTCGACCGGTATGAAGTCGTACATCGGCTCCATGGCAGAATATTTAGCATGTTTTTTTTCAAGTTAATTGTTAACACATTATTATGGCTTTAAATAAAGGAATTTACATAATTAATATGGCTACATGTAGAAAATAAAAAAAGCACAAAGTTGTAGCACAGGCTGCGTTTTGAGTGTTTAATTAATAACACGGTGTTACTTACGAAATCAGAAGGATATGTAACAGAAACTCTTCCAACCATCTTCAGTTCTTCAGTATCGAAACCTGTGTCCCAGGTTTCCACCGCTTTTGGTGCCGGTCCTATTTTCGACCACTGGTCTTGAAAATATGATACCTATAAAATATCAAAAAAATATTTAAAAAAATAACAAAAAAAATTTATAAGATAAGACCTTAAATAAGTTAAGATAAGTTTTAAATTTCGACGAACACAAATATCTTCTTGTTAACTTTATTTGCACTACTTATTAGACATGGTTTGAATAGGTATTAACCTACGTAAACAATTAAGTTTAATAGAGTTTTGTGGTTAAGTAATCTATTGTGTTTTGTTGATATTGAACTCTATAACCCACCCAGGGTTATAGAGTTGAAAATACAAATGTTTGTTAACAACGAAAGTTAGTTTAACCATAACCATAAATTTACATGAATGAAGTGCCTTATTAATATTGTAATAAACATTATAATAAGCTGAATATTACGTTCAATATTTTGTATTATGTCTTTTATATTGTTTATATTGTCACTTACATACTTATTTGAAATTAGGAACTAGACTAATGACATAAATACCTTTGCGGATAAACTTGAATTCTAGTGTAATTTTATGATTCAACGTATGCATTTGACTAAGAAGCACCAGATATTTTGATCCCGAAATTTTAATGTTATCTTGAGTAATTCTGTGTAATATTAGGATCAGCCAATCCAATTATATTGTTACTGTCAGCTTCCTCCGCGACAGCGAAAATCCTTCACATAAATCAGAGTCAATAGAAATATGATTGACATAATTGAAATCAGTGTGATCCAATTTTGTACTTTCGTCAGCGGATCTCTTTTGCATTAATTTTGAATTGTTAAAAACGACGATGAAAGCAAAATCTGACACTGTTATTCTTTTGTGCTGTAATCGATATTTGCTACGGAGATAATACAATCAATTAGATAATCTCGTCTTAGCGGTTAGTTGAGCGCTTAATAAGTGAAGATCCCAAGCGCAATTTCAACGAAGTTTTCCAATTTGTTTCTGGTATATACTTTTTGGCTAGTGACGCTAGTTTCAATTTAGATACACCGGCAATATTAGTAAAAGAAAGCCACTAGTTTCGAGATCAGTGTGTGATTGAGTAATAATGAGTATTTTCTTTCTATTCAATATCAGCGTGTCTCTCGGTACTAACCTCCGGTTTATACGTTGATGAAGCGTCAAGTTCCTTTTGCAAGAAGGCAGTGTATTCTGCTATAACGTATTTGACATCATCTTCTTTTAATATTCCTTCGTGTATTAATTTTTCTGCGTAAAGGTCTGTTATGGATCTGCAAATATTTAACGAGCAATATAACTGAGAATAAAATTCTACCCGAGACGCGCGAATCTACGAGGGCTGTTCTTTGTGGATTTTAGTAACTTAGATTTAAAGGAAAATAAAAGAAAAAGTAATGGATGTTGGCGACCAGTTGTGGTGCAGCCTCGTTCGTAGTTGTAGTTTTTTTTTACATTTTACATTCCTTTTACAAAATATTTTTCGGCTGTCTTTGTTTTACAAAGTTTTGGTAGTTGCCTCTGCTACGCCTGGTTCAGTTTAGATTCAGTATTGTATTCAGTCACTATCTTGAATTAAATGCGTTTTAACTTGCCAGGGTGTTTCTGCATATTTCTTTATATGTATATTTATATACATTTCATTCGCCAATAATGGATACGATAAAAAGTAAATGATAGAGATTTGAGAATAGCATACTGAGGTCCCGATGTTTACTCATTTTAATATTGTAAAAATCACAGGACTCAGTATAGCGCCCTGTGGAAATTTAAATACTCTATTAATAATTAAATTGAAATCTAATCTGTGTCTTTGAATGAGTCTGTACTGCAATGCCCTAAAGGTGTGTTCATAGTCTCATAATTTCCGAACACAAATTTAAAAAATCCAGTGTAATGTGCTATTGTACCTCAGAATATGTTTTATTCTCTTTCAATGAATTATTTACTTGATTGCGACTCTCTAAGGCGTCAGCAGGCTGGTGAATGTAGGTTCGTATATATAATTATGTATTACTAATAATAAAGGATCATTTTCAGTCCCCTGTGGTACCCTAAATTACTTTTTATTTTATCAGTGATTGATTACTTACTTGCGACTCTGTATAAGTCTATAAAGCAGTGGGCTAGTGAAGGTAGGCTCATCCATCTCATTGTGTCCCCAGCGCCGGTAACAATTATAGTCTATAAATACGTCTTTGCGGAACTTCTGGCGGTATTCGAATGCTATATTTGTTGCTTTTGCTACCAACTGAAAAAGACATAAAATATATTACATGCGCATTTTAACAGAACACTTAAAACACTAAGTAATATTTTAATGTGAATATGAGTTTACCTCTGGATAATCAGCATTGACGTGGATCACAGGAGCAGCGATCATTTTAGCTACATCAGTAACATAACGTGACGACCCTCGACGATCTGCTGGTAGTGTGAAACCTACCTGTGAATACAGGTGTGATTATGAGTATTGTGTAACTTTCATAAGAACAAAAAAACCTTATAAAAGTAAATTGTAATAATATCGCAACGTTGGTTATAATAAGGGCACATCTGCAAATTGACATGTTTTCAAAAGAGTTTTAATAATTTTATTTAAATTAGTCGATATATTTTTATGTTTATATAGGAGAGTTATAAAATTTCACATATATGCATGTAGTTACTGTTATTTTTATGCATATTTTTGTAAATATTGTATTGTTTAAATGAAATATTTACAAAAGTACGTACGGTAAATTTAATTGTTCTTTGGTAAATTCAAAATAAAATATTTAAATTGATAACTGGAAACAAAACATAATTAAAAAAAAACTAATACTAGGATTAAATTAGACGAATAAAATTGGGTCCCCGCGGCAAAGTATCCAAGATGTTGGCAGCGTTCCCACTTTTGAAGCTATGCTAATACATTTTTTAAAGAATTTCTAACTTACTTGGTTATTAACAACAACGTGGAACGAGCCTCCGATATCAAAATGTGGTGCTTGAGACATCATTAGACTTTCTTGATTCACTCCTTGTCCAGCAAAAGCAGCATCGCCATGAAACTGTAAATTTCAAATGTATTAACATTGCAAAAGAAAACGTATAAGTGTAAGATTAAGTATATGTAGAGAAAGATATAGTTATAGTACTTAATTAGTTATTGATTGGTTTTTAACCAGTCACGCAACACACAAAAGGATTTACCCGTATTCGCGGATAGTAATTTTGCTGCTATGGGAAACCAGCACCAATCGAATTTTTAATATTTTATATACAAAAAGGAAGTCAGTGGTTCCAAAACCAGGTAGATATAGTACAACTGTTCATTTGGGACATGGGAAAAAGAAATATATGAAGGAAAGATGCTGGATATATTCATAAAAAAGAGTTAGTGCACTGTAAGGGTGACTTAAACCGTTAGATTGACAAATTAAGGAGCAATGCGAGTCAAGAAAATTAAGAGTGGGTGTTGTGTTTTTGGACTGATTTGAAAGTGCATGTGTGCAAGTGAAATAATCAAGGTGTGTTATAATTGATGCTTTTGGGTACAGACAAAGCAGACAATAAAAAAGGAACAAGAAAATCACTGTCCGTCCATCGCTAGCTTTAGATACCACACCGCGTCCGCATATTGTTGCGACATAGACGGAACACCAATAAGGACGTGACTGTTTAAACAATTTTTTATTACGAACGTACGTTACTATATATGATGGATGGATGGATGAATTTTTATCATGTGGGTACGGCGGTTTATTTTCATTTAAATGAGATAAAGAGAGGAGTCTCCTTCGTTAAAAAATATTTTTGTTAGATTTAATATTTTCAATATAATGCAATTTCATAACAGATTATTTTAGAGATAAAACATTTAAAAGAAAATGGAGGTATTTTAGTGTAAGTAATATTTTATATTCAATTATGTTAGGTCTTTTAAATTAGTTTAAGCTACATGACTTTATTTAACTTAAATGAAATTGACTGTAGTTTTAGTATTTAATATTTATTAATCATTAGTCTAAGTAATAATAAAATTATTTACATGATACAATACATTTTTGATGGTTAACCCTAGCACTTCACAAAGACATTTGCACGTGTACAAACAGCGTCTTGCTGTACGTTTTTTTTATATATAATAGACACACGCTTGGCCATAATCTCGCCTGATGTTAAGCGACGTGTTTGCCTAAAAAAATGCCTATTCACTCTAGTCTTGAATAGCTCCAAATTGTACTTTTCGGGAAATACAGAGCATTCCATGCATTTGCCGTACATATCAGGAAGGAGGAAGCAAATTGCTTAGTGCGAATAGGTGGAATATCAACAATATAATAATGGAGTGCTCCGGACCTTCTAGTCGACCGAAGGAGGAACGGTGACTAAATTGTGGTACTAAGTTGAAAAGTTCTTGCACACACTCCCCGAATGTATCCGATAGAAAACCGACAAGCAGGCTACTATTCTGCGATAGTCGAGATTTTGTAGCTTCGGCTCCACAAGAGAATTATTGTTAATAAGTCTTTTTACCTTTCGCTCCACCGAGTCCAAGGCAGCTAACTGGTAATGGGCAGAGCCGTCCCAAAGATGGCAGCAATACTTCATACACGATTTGTGCTTTATACACATTGACTTACAATTATATGGACGACGGGTCCGCGCTAAAAAATGTCCGCACTTGTAAGGCGCTAAAATCGTATACAGAGCGCCAAACTCCGCTTTAGTCTTCATTTGTTCTACTGACAGCGCGATACTGCGATGACATTACAATTTAAATTTCGAATAGGTTGACTTGGGACATTTTTTTCGTGGTTTTTGTATTAGACCCGTCGTCCATTTATTTGTAAGTCAATGTTTATACAGATTTAAAAGCTGTTCAGGTGTGAGTACCGCCTGACCTTGTAAAGAATGCCCAGTTTTCTGGCAACAGATTTTGCCAAGCACACCATGTATCGCCCAAAGTTGAGTTCGGATGATAAGACCAGACCAAGTAGCTCAAGGTGGTCCCTTATCGGCATGGATACATCTCGGAAAGTCGGAGTAAGGTGTAGAGGAATCCGTTTGATGTGAAAAGACACCCCTGTGTTTTAGTCGCATTAAACCTGACTGTGTTCGCATCTCCCCAGTCGGAAGCCGCTTTCAGGCTCAGGTTCAACCGGATGACCATCGCATCTCGTTTACACCGGATCTCTTCGCTGCTGTCTCGTGCGTCTGGCACATAACTCTCTACCACTGTGCTGTCGTCTGCATACCCAAAGATACCAGGCATCAGCAGCAGGTCGTTGATATGCAGCAAAAATAGAGTGGCGGAGAGGACAGATCTCTGAGGTTTTTCATTTATACCATGAGGAGCAGACGAATAACCATCTACAACTACACGGATTGACCTATCCTTCAGAAAATCGCCTATCCATGTGCAAAAGCCAACAGGAATTCCGTAAGCTGGAAGCTTGTTTAACAGGCTATGCCAAGACACCGCAAGCGATTCACCGCGTTTCTCGACAGCCTCGCCCCATAAATGTGTGGCATAGGCAAGAAGATCCCCAGTAGATCGACCACGGCGAAAACCATACTGTCGATCACTGAGAAGATCGTTATCTTCGAGTTATCCAAGGAGATGGCTGTTCAATATGCGCTCCATAGTCTTACAGATGGAGGTGATTGCGATAGGTCGATAATCCGATGGGTCGTCATGACTACCTTTCTTAGGTACAGGCTGTACATGTGCAAGCTAACAATAAAAAAATATAAAGACGTAGTAGTTAATAACTTTCTACCATTGTATGGAGTTTCGGGCGTGTGGACCTTAGGAGAAGAAGAAAGAAAGGTCTCGACATTAGGAGAGTCAGACGTCATAAGTTTATGTAATCAAATACCTGCACATTGAAGACCTTGTCTCCAAGTCTGGACGATTCATGAGGAGAGTAATCTCCTTCTAAAAGTTGTAACTGCTTTGACCTTGCTTTACCCATTGACACCGGATTTGCTATCTGAAATAAATAAAATTGATCAAAAATTCATTATTATAAATAACTGATAGGTACGCAAGTAGTTCATACATAACAAAACGTTTTGTAATGTAAAGAAACCAATGATTGCTTACCTCCAAATGAGATGGGTTGTTGACCATAGAAAACCGGACGGTCTTGTTGTTTACATTAATATCCGACGAGAGACCTACAAACAGATATCATAATATAAGACAAAGATTACACAGATATTACAATATTTTCGAGGAAGAAGACAATTTACACTGCTGTGGAATAGAATGGAAACGAGTTTTTGTGACGAAATTGTACATAGCATAATGAAATTTATGTCAATTGTGTAACGTTACCGACTTTGCGAGAATTTTCTTGAAACCACTGGTCTTTGTAATTCCATTGAGAATCCACCGAGATTATGGTATGGCAATTGTGGTAATATTTTGTTATTCTTTTCAAAATCTAGTTGCAATGGCAGTTGAGTCTCAATATAGTGTTAGTGGAATGGCAGGGATGGTATTCATTCATTCAACGAAATCCTCTTACTAAAATTACCATGGAAATTATTATGCATTTATCCTAATTGTTATCACGTTTAAGCAGTAATTTAATCTTCAAATTATATATATGTATAATATTATGTATAACTATATAATAAATTAAATATAACTACATTATCGACGTGCCGTCGACTCGCTATTGAAGAGCAGAATACCAAACACACGAAATTCTGTCATTGAAACTCGATACATAATTGAGATGCTTTAAAATAGCAGACCGGGGCCCTGGTCGCACGTCTTCCGGAGAATTCTCACACACATAATTGACATAAAGTTGATATTGAGTTGACTTGATATGTACAATTTTGTTACAAAATTCAGCTTCCATTCCATTCCACAGTAATGTAAATTGAGCCTAAGGGTGATCGTAAACTTACTGAAGTGTAAGGCAATGTCACACGAGGCGCCCGTCTCTTCAGGAAACTCCATCCGGCCACTGAATTTATGAAATAGTTTCACCGGGGGACATTTGAGGAGTGTCACCATTGCGCTCAGCTTCCCGCGATGTGGCAGGGCCAAGGTTACATATTCGATGTTTTCTAGTGAAAGTATGGTTTTTAGAAAAAAAAAAAAATGAATTAGGAAAACCGATCACTATAGACCAGTAATTAGAAGCAAAAGCGGTCGCAAGGACTGAGTCTTTATTCAACTCTAATAACAATGGGAATTGTAGTGTACAGTTAGTGTACAGTGTCCGAATTTTTAAATGACAAATTCTAACTTCATTGTCATAAGGGCGTCTTCATATTAGATGCTTGTAGAAGCGGTGCAGTGGCGCGACTGTGGTGCGGCAGCCACGCTTCTATACTAAACATAATCTAGGATGTTCCTGTGACAGTAGAAATCTACACAACGTATTTCATAAACTATTTTTATAAGCCTCGTTTGAATAGCCATTGCTTAGGTAAATAAATTAAATTAAAATAAAAAATAACACCAAATTAATGTTTATTTCTGAGCAATGAGCGGAAACTTTTTTTTCAAAAATTTATTAATTTTTACGACAACGTACAAAGGTTACTTCATTACTCTGCACTTGCTAGAGATGAGGTATATCGATAACAACTTTTCTTCATTAAAGTATGAATTCTTAAAGTATGAATTTTAATCATAGGCAATAAATTGACATGTCAGTGATATTACTTTTTCGAAACCTGTAAATTATTGACATGATAAAAGTTTTTTTGGAATTTAGTAGAACATCAATTGAATTTAAATTATAGTTGTGGTGTGTTTTATGACTTCAATATAATACAAGACTGTTCACACGTCTGTACATTGTTCATAATAAATACCTTTGCTTCAAAAAACAAATACACTAAAATATATCGACTTAACTCATCCCTATGTCAAACGTCAAATGAAGTGTCACTGGGGTTATCCTAGTTTGTGTTTAGTATAATGTATGAAAATGAGTAGCTGCAGCGCTTTTATAAACGTCTAATTTGAAGGCGCCCTTATAACCTTTGACAGTATACAGTCATGGAAATATTTAAAGGGACTCTTAAAAATGTTTGAATTATGCTAACAATATGTACATATATGAACCGCTGACTACGTTATACCAGACCGTTTAATTTGAATAAAGAATGAGTTTAATTGTCTCTTGATTTCGATTAAACGTTCTGTAATGATACGACTTTTACGACTAAATATTTATGTTTATGAGTCATTGACTTACAAATAATTGGACGACGGGTCTAATACAAAAACCACGAAAAAAATGTCCCAAGTCAACCTATTTAAACGTAGTGACATGTCAATGAATATGAAAAAGCTAAAACGTTGAATTTAAATTGTAATGTCATCGCAGTACTGTTTAATTTTGCTTGCTTCGCTGTTAGTCGAACAAACGAAGACTAGAGCGTGAATGACGCTCTGTATATAGTCAATGTAGTACACGATAATAATATTTTAATAACGTCAAAACATATGTACTCATAGCATTGACTTACAATTATATGGACGTCGGGTCCGCGCTAAAAAGTGTCCGAATTTATAGGGCGTTAAAATTGTATACAGAGCGTCATTCACGCTTTAGTCTTCGTTTGTTCGACTGACAGCGAAGCAAGCAAAATTAGACAGTACTGCGATGACATTACAATTTAAATTCAACGTTTTAGCTTTTTCATATTCCTTTACATGTCACTACGTTTAAATAGGTTGACTTGGGACATTTTTTTCGTGGTTTTTGTATTAGACCCGTCGTCCATTTATTTGTAAGTCAATGGTGTACTACTTTTATTTTCTTTCATTTTGACATCTGGGTACAATTTCATATTATTATAGTTAAAATCACTATCGCCGCGTTTTAAATTCTTGATCGACTTATTAGATCCATGTGTGCACGTCCTTGTAACTGTTACACCTAGTTTAGTTTGCTGAAGTGCACTTGAGTAAATGTACAGTATGCCTTCAATATGTTCGTATGACTTATGTTTGATCGGACACAGTGAAACCACGGAAGAAAAAACGCAATGGAAGTGCCTTAGGCCTCGATTACTAATAGAACAGATGTCGCCAAAACTTACACATTCTTAATTTGAAACACTACAAAATCTTGACATTGATTGGTCGCAGTTTCAAATTTAAAAAGACAACAAATTCTGGAATGTCAATATAATTTAAACTTTACTCTGGCATATCCTTGAAAGTTCAATACCATCAATACCTATTATTACAAGCTACTTATTATTTACGTTTTACTTATTTTTATTTTATTATATTATATAGAAATTTCAATCAATGTGCTGCCATCTAGTGGTTAATTTCTGAACCACGTCGAATTGGAGTTATTTAGTTCTCCAATAGCTTACCGGGCATAGTTTTACTTTCGTTTCTTGTAACAAAAAATTATTTCGGTAAACAGAAAATTGAAAATTTATTAAAATAAGACTTTCCGATGATATGAAATACCACCACGGGTGCGGATGTCTGCCAGCTGTGGATTTTTGCACTCCAAAACTGCACAATAAGGTATTTTTCTAGGATTTTATAGAATTTGCACGAAAGAATAACACAGCCATACCATACAACGAAAAAATGGCGGACTGAGCTCAGATAGGTCTTTCGAGATCTATACAGGCTGTATATTTGAAAGTGAGACATATTCATGCATGTCATAGTAAATCATGTTACAACTTAACATAGACTAAAATAAAATTAGGATATGGGATAGAACAAAAAATAAATCAACAAATTTGTTTTGGAGTGTACATAGGAATAAACCGATTCCCTTTACGCTTGATTTCGAGTGCATTGGGAATATTAGCAAGCGAGCGCCGAGTGAGACAGCCACAATAACAATGATTTCACATCTCTCTCTCACCTACCCTACTCATTTATGTTATGATGAAAAAGCTGTTATCGAAATGATTACGTTTTAGCTTATGTTAATTTTTTACTTATGAACTATCATCGAAATGTTTTAAGTACTAAAAAGATAATTAAGTTATCATTTAATAAGAATTGAGGTTTTTGGCGTAGTTAAAAATGTGAAATCAAATTATTTAAAAAGGTTTTTTTTTATTAGTTATTTACAGTTTATTTACACTTACGTGGTACGGAGAAGTGTTCAAAATGTCCACCGTTTTCCACAATGCATAGACTAGCACGTCGTAGTAAATTATGTTTTAAATTGGTCAACACAAACACATTTTGTCTCGCAGTATAAAATGCTGAGATAATTCTCTCATGCAACAACGTCGACACTATTCACCTACTCCGCGTAAACTCCAATTTGGGAACATTTCAATAGCTCGCCTCACACTATCACCACTTGTTGCGTAAAGTCGCACCATCTCAGTCAATTCGACGTTAGAATAAATATCCATTTTGCAGGCGAGGGCCCCTTCGCCGCCGGCGTAGTGTTCGGGCGAGCGGAAGTACAAATAATTTACGTGCCTTTGCTAGGCCAAAGTCGCGCGTACACTGTCTCTGCAAACAGTGCCGACCTGTGCTTTGTTTTCGCCGCCGTGTCGCCGCGCCTCTCGCCGCTGCGTCCGTCGGAGCAAAAATAGTGGCGTGCATAGATTTCGATAAGTAATGTTGTTCACAAGTAGTAGTCGATGAAAAAAATATTTTTTTTTTGTAAATTTTAAGTTCATTAGTTGATTATTTTCTTGGGTTCAGAATCAGGAATATAACGCACTCTACAAGTATGTCTCACTTTCAAATATACAGCCTGTATAGTTGGCATGCGTCGGGCTCTAACTAACCACTTTCATTGCATTTATTGTTCTGTGAGTGAAACTATATTTATATTGTAATTTCTCACCGTTTATACAGCCTGTGTACTCACAACAGAATGAGTTACGAATTAGTTGATAAGCTCATCTTTTAAATTCAAAATTACGTTCTTCCCAATTAAATACTAGAATGATTGATGATTTAACAATAATTTACCCAATTATTAGTAATTGACTGGCAATCTGAAGAAGGTGTTGCAACACTTACCAGCAGAAGTAAGTCTAAACAGCGTAGAAAATATTGTAAGTAACGATTCAGCGCCCTCGCCACTGAATCTTTTAACAGCTGGGAGCTTGACAGCTAAAAACTTCTCCCAAGCTTGACCCCGTAGAAGCTCCGCGGCAATTTCTCTTCGTCTATCCATGTCGATTGGATCTGGTGTTCCTTCAACACGTTGTGCGAACCATTCTCGTTCAGTTTCTGACTGGAAAAATGAACTTAACTAGAGAAAACCAGAACAAGAAGGCTGGGTTCAGATGGACACACACCTGTCGGAATCCGCGTAGGAACGTTCTGATGATCAGAGATAACGCACAGTGCGCGCAAGTACTCGCAGTGAACGATAACGCGTGGTCATCTGAACCGGTATACTGTCCAATGCTTATAATTCCAAACGCGTGACGACGTGCGTTTGCAGCGGTTACGCGCGTTTTGAAGTATTTCATCAATAGATGAAATTACTTCTACTGGCAAAGGTAAACTAATACCATCGAGTGTATAATCAGAAATAGAGACGAAATAAGGGCCATTCGAAATCGCAAATTAGAAAGCTAGTACAAAAAGTACAGCGCCAACAATAGGCGAGTTGTTGGCGCTGTACTATTTCAGCGTACGTGTGTTCGTCTCCGTATATTCCAAAAATATTCTGTATTTATTGTAATAATGATAATATCTCTAACTATGGGGGGCTGTTCCATTCGGCGGTGTGGGAAAAACAGCAAAACATCTGATTACAAAACAAACGGAATCACATTTCATCGGTAATTAAATATGACATTTTTCAATTTCAGGTTGTTTTGAAGTGAAACAATTAACGACGCCCGTCAATTGTTTCGAATTGGGGTATGGCAAAATACTATCAAAGAAATTAAACGACATTTCGTCTCTATTTTTGGTTATATACTCGAAGACTAATATCTACTGGGTTAAGTTTCTGCTTCTCCTATCACATAGGAGTGCCAGTAACGAAGTTTATCCTATAAAAATCTTGATTTTTCTGCTGAAGAAATCATAAAGTGCGTTTCATACCTCCAAATGCGTGAATTCGTAAGAAATATTTCCACAGTAGATTAGTTCCAATTCTTGTATTAAATCACCCACTGCCTTTTGCCCATTGTATCCATACAGAAGTCCAAAGTCCACAGGATCACCTGTTTTTAAACCGTACCGTTCTAGATTCAGCTCTTTTACGATTCTGAAAATAAATAGAACTGCTATAGTTATTTGCCATTGTATAAGATGATGATGATGATGATGTTATATTAACACGTTAAAATACATATTTAGTAGGTGTTTTCCTAGCAACTCTACTGGTACTAAAAAGTAGCAGTAGAGCTTGTTGTGAAAGAGTTTGTCCGGGGAAGTACTGCCGTCTTACCTATTTCTGCCGGCACGCAATAATGTAGACATTATCATGTTCCGGTTTTGAAGGGTAAGGGTGCTGGTGAAATTACAGGTATATGGGACTTTTTAATTTATGTCTCAGGCGCAGTGCGCCTCAGATCTTTGCGATTGAAAGCTCTGAGCGGTACAGCAACAGTTACGGACAAGCGGGTCGCTTACCACCAAGCACACCACAGGTTCGTCCAATCACTTGATATCAAGTGTGTGTGACCCTTTCCTCTGGTTCCAGGCCACTCACTTTTCAAATTTTGAATCGTTCTCTAATTCTTGTTCTTCGTCATTCTTCTACAAACCTCCGACAACGAACCGACAAGACGTGTTTTCCTCTAGTCAATATAAATTTTATTAAATGTCAAAATTTTCTTATATACGTTATATAATGATGTAACGTATTTGTGCACATACATCACACATGTTTTTGTGGAAAAGTTCAAAATGTCGAAGCTACTATAAACAGTTTCTGATACGTCAAGAAATGATAAACCTTTACAACGACTTCATCAGGGCTCTCAAGGCTACACTACAACCTATAACCTACAGGACATGCTTGGGCGGTGCCATAGCGCGGCGACCCTGGCACCCGAACTAAATTAGGAAGGAGGCCAAGAAGAAAGCCAAAATAGAAGGATACATGACAGTGAAACATTTTATTGTGCTGAGTATCATTACAACAGTAAAAGATTGAACCTGGAAATTACACATTCAGCGCCCGCAGTGCAAACCATTGATTGATAACGTTGATTCCTTGAAATTCAGACTCCATTCAATACTAATATCTATGTTTATTTATTATTGGTGATGAATTTAAAATACTAACTTTACTTACCGTTGCTCATTTCTGAAATCCACATTATCAATGCTTGCTTTTAAATGTCCATGTCTGCGATAAGCATCAACTAGCGCCGCAGCTCGACTGTTCTCATATCGGCGGACCAATACGTCTTTAGGAGTTTCTGAAAGATAGAATAGAATTTTTTGTGTTTATTGTTCAATATACTAGCATGGTGGTACCCTAGTGAAAGAACGATTGCTCAATTGATCTACTTTTCATGTATAATTCACGCCCATTTTCCCATCGGATTAAAGACAATATCCTTCCGCTTGATCAGGATCGCCTGACAAACATTTTTCGCCTTATCAACACGTATCAATGTTTTCATACGTGCTCGTACGTGAAGTCCATCTGACCTGGCCTTTCTTTATTTAGGACGCTCTTAATTTGTTCATGGTAAGTTCACATTGGGGGATCCGTACCACTGTATTGCTCACTCTCGCCTGTTCCGTCAATCTTCCTTCAATAAATTTGATTTAAATAATAATTTCTAATTTGTATTTATTTATTTATGATTACAAAGACCTACAAATACCTTATAGACTAACATATGTATAATAATATAGTGACACTGTATATTTATCTACACGTATGGACTGCGACGTGTGACGCAACTTGGGTGTCCGGTACATGACACCCTTCAGCCAAAAGTCCTTCATGAAGGTCGACAGATGTTGTGTCGACAGACTCTCACCAGGAATGCATTAAAATTCACATTTCGTCGGGACTCCAACTGCCGACTCTTAGAGCAGCATTGGCTTTCACCCGTATGTACTCCATAACATCCGCGCACTTTGTGGAGTAATTTTTATTTATTTATTTGTTTGCATTCAGGTTACAAATATCCATAAATACATAGCTTATAAACTAACAAATATAATAATACAATAAAACACTCGTATAATGTATACCTTAAGGAAAAACATACATACAATATAATAAAACAATATTTCTAACTAATCTACACGAATTGCACTTGTCGGCGATGTGTGGCGCAGTCTGGTGTCAGGTAACCGGCTGCGGAATCGCCGATACATGACACCCTTCGGCTAAAACTCTCCCTTCATGAAGGTCGATAGATGTTCGGTCGGCAATCTCACCACAAACGAATTGAAATTTACGTTGTGGCGGGACTCCAACCGCTCCACCCTCAGGGTGTATTTGGCTTTATGTCTGATGTGCTCCACTATTTCGTCAGACTTATTAAAGTAATGCAGTCGTGACAGATACAGCAGCGTCGTCGGTATTGACGCAGCAGGAAGTTCGGTCCTGTCGGTGCTGTGTCACGTTGGTTGCGACTGGTGAGCTTCCTCTTCCTCTTCACCACCTTTGTGAAGCTGTCCTCATCGCACCGGTCGGTACCGCTGGACGCAGTAGATGATTGGGGCCAATTGGGGCGGTGCCACTAAAGTTATGCCTGGTGTGCCTCTTTTCCTTTTCCACCTTTTTGAAACCGTCGCACTGATCTACTCGTTTCGGTAGTACCGACGACGCAGCTCCAGAGATGAGTTTATATCATCATGTTTTTACTACCTAACTATAACAAGTTTTCACAATTTCTCATAGATGGCGCTGCGGCAAAAAACCTGTTCCAACCCAATACAAAGATGGGCAGCGAGCTCATAGAAATTCCTAAGATGTGCTGGCTCGATCCGTAACTCTGTTGGTTTTCTTTTTATAATATTAAGTGACGGGACGAACAAGTCTTTAAGGCGCAAAGATCTGAGGGGCACTGCCACTGCGCCCATCACTCTAGTACATAAGTTGAGAAGTCCCATGTGCCTGTAATTTTCTCAGCATCCTTACCCTTCCAAACCGGAACGCAGTATTGCTTACATTACTACTTGGCGATAGAAATAGGTAAGGTGGCAGTACTTCCCTGGACGAATTCTTTCACAAGGAGCTCTACTACTACTAAGCGGTGGCCACGTAGCGGCAATAAACGCTGTTTCGATTATAGTCCGATTGAAGGAATATTCCCTTGCGTTTGTTCGACCTTCGTATCAGTAATAAAGATGATTCTTGTTAGTAAATCACAGATTTTCGCGGTGTAATTTCCAGTTAATCTTTTATTCTTTGTCATCATTATTTATTTTGACATTAATCGCACACGTTTCATATGATGTGATTATAAAATTTATACAAGTTAATTACGTGAACTGCCTGCGTTTGACATAAATAATTTTGTGCTCTATGTCAAAGCTAAGCCTTGTTTAATTAATTAAATTTTGGGAGACGGTTTTTGCATACATATTTAGCAACGTTCTAATTGAAATGACTGTACTTTATTTGGGATATTTGGGAGTTAAGTAGAATGAAATGAAATATGTTAGCTAATTTTTAAATTTTATTCAAAAGCTTAGGAACAGCCGGTAAAATACTTTTTTTATAATAAATACCAAGTAACTGGACGAGCAAGTCGTGCGCCTGGTAGTAGCTACACGCCTGTCCATAACTGTTACGATCAAACTCAGAGCTTTAAAATGCAAAGGTCGGTGGGACACTGCCACTGCGCCCGTCACCCTGAGAAATAAGTTGACAAGTCCCATATGCTTGTAATTTCACCAGCCTTTAAAACCGGATCGCAGTAATGCTCACATTACTACTTGGCGGCAAAAATAGGTAAATTGGCAGTACTTCTCTGGACAAACTTTTTCACAAGGACCTCTACTGCTACTTGTCAACGTTCTTGTTGGTTGGGAGCGACAATCAAACACCAGTTCCGGGTCAAGACTAACTGTACTTTATTCAGTTTACCCACATGCATAAATATCAAATTCATATAAACTACCTACAATCTCCTTTTTACAAAAATTATTAAAAAAAAATTATATTGCTCATTAAACTAAGAACATAATAGAATTTATATAACATTTCATATTCCCATAATTGTGCATGCTTTTTATAATTAAAAAAGAAGTATGAGAATATGTGAAAATTCAAAAAATACATAATACATTAAAGCAAGTAATCCATAAAATTTTATTTAAAATATTTTTAATTTTATTTAATTTAAATTTAAATAGAACTTTATTCAAAAAAAATACCAAAAAAATTATAGTTGGAATGAAAACGTAGTAAGTATATATAAATTCATTTAAACATAAACAAGGAAATCATTCAGGCATAGTAAAAATGCAGAATACATAATAAATTTTAAAGAAATTGTATGAGTATGGTCAGGTTTTAACAAATTGTAGGTATTTATTATCTATCACTAATAAAATTTTAATTATACATAATGACCATTCTTACTTCCATATCATAAAAAAAAAATAGATTGTAAAATTAATTAATTATTTTTGTACAAACATAGAGCCGAAATAACCTGTGTATATGTAATTTGCCGTGATTAAACAACAGCTGTTCTAAATACTTACTTAGAATATAAATAAGTTTGTACACATCTAGGTCCGAACAATTCATACAGCCCACGATCCCCACCGATCAGGCGCGATCACCACCCTGCCGGAGCGAGTTACATAACCATTAGTAGATGATCGACTAGGTTCATCGGCCCGCGCGGTCGTGTCACGGGATTCGAACCCGGCACAAGCGGCGGCTGCGCGTTGCACGCCGCTCCGTGACGTAATCGGGTTATCACTGCGAGTAACGATATCTTCGTAAGGCAGGGAGTACACTGGAGTGTTTTGCATTGTAGGACGTTGGTCAGAATCTCTAATAATATGCCGCCTATTTCTAATTAGACTTCCACCGCCACTGATTTGTACTAAATATGATCGTGTACCGCGCAATGACATTATAGTTCCGCTCACCCAACGCTTGTTTATTCTTACTTTTACATTTTGGCCGGGGTGGAAAGCGGGCATATCACGAGCGGCTTTATCGTATTGATACTTTTGCTTTTGTTGACGGGCTTCTAATTCTCGTTTTACATTCTTTTGTATTTTAGGCAAAAGAAGTCTGGGGGGGTACGGCACGATACCTCTTAGTTTGCGACTGTTTAGAAGTTCAGAAGGAGAAGCAAGTTTGTTACTTATAGGTGTATTCAGATATTCAAGTAAAGCTATTCTAAATTCGGTTTTCTCCAGTTGCGTTTTCTTAAGCAAATTTTTAATAATCTGCACCGTCCTCTCAACTTGGCCATTAGATTGTGCGTAGTGTGGCGATGACGTTATGTGTTGAAATGTCCACTCTGCAGAAAAAATATCGAAATTGTTCGATCTGAACTCTGGGCCATTGTCAGACATTACTATATCGGGAATACCGTGTCGACTGAAAATAATTTTGAGTTCGTTGATAACGTGATCAGACGTTAATGAACTTAATTGCGCAACTTCGACATATTTACTGTAATAATCTACTACAATTAAGTATTTATTTCCATGGAAATGAAATATATCTACACCTAGTTTCGACCACGCTCTGTTTGGTACGCTGTGAGGAATTAAAGTTTCTTTTCTGTTCTCATTTTTGAATGTAAGGCATGCCTGACAGTTACTTATGAAGTCCTCTACTTGCGCATTTATGTTTGGCCAGAACATACTCTCTCGGATTCTCAATTTGCATTTGTCTACTCCTAAATGTCCGATGTGTACGCGTCTTAACATTTCGTTTCGCATAGTGACAGGAATAACTATTCTATCGCCTTTCCACAACATGCCGTACGCTAGCGATAACTCATCGCGGTAGCCCCAATACGACCTAACCAGAACATCCACCTTGTGTTTGTGCATTGGCCACCCATCTTTAACATATTTAGCCAACATTTGCAATTCTGTGTCGTTTTGTGTCTCTTTTTGTATTTTTATGAAATGCGTGTCGAGTAACGGGTTACTCACAGCGATGGCACAGACTTGTGCACGCGAATCCAACTGAGCGCGCGGCTCCTCAGGTGAGTCGCGCGTCGGTTCTACAGCGCGGGACAACGTATCAGCCATAAATAAATATTTCCCTGGTTTATAAACTAACTTGAAAGTATACGGCTGTAAACGAAGCAGCATTCGCTGTAATCTCGCTGGAGCAGTAGCTATCGGCTTGCTAATGATACTGACCAGGGGTTTGTGGTCCGTTTCTATGGTTATGTCACCTCTACCATAGATATACGTATAAAATTTCTCACACGCGTAAACAACTGCTAAGAGCTCTTTCTCTATTTGA